TCACTGTAATGAGCATTGTTGATTGTTGAAACTTTTTCTTGACAGTGTTCCAATACTGGCCTGTGAGAATCCCAGAAAACTGTAAGCATCAATTTTCCAGCAGATGTGTGACTTTTGAACTTTTTCTTGGTTGACAATTAAGGATGTTTCCATTCTACACTCTGTTGTTTACTCTCAGACTCATAGTGATGAATCCATGTTTTAAGATCAGTAACGATTCGTTTTAAGAAACTTTTACCTTCCTTCAATTATTGGTCCAAATTTTGTTAGCAGATGTCCAAACGCTTCTGTTTATGCTCTTCTGTGAATTGTTTGGTACCCATCTCGCACAAACTTTCTGAAACTGAAATCTGTAATGGATTATTTCATAGGCAGATGATGGTTGATTTGCCACATAATCCACTATTCAACAGAATCAGTTCACGGTGCACACTCAATGCTGTTATCAGCCGTGGGTGTGGATGGGTATTTTACCATAACTGGGTTCGGGGTAATTTTTGACTCACCCTTGTAAAATTCTAGGTTGACAATTTTTCTTTCAGTAATTTAAAGGTGTTATATTGTGTTTCATTTGCATCTCTTGTATCAAGAATTTTTCTGTCATCCTTATCTTTGTTCTCTGTGGCTGATTTTAAGACTGTCTCTTTATTGCTGGCTCGGAGAAGATTTATTGTGACATATTTTAGTGTTTTCTTTTTCATGTTTCTCATGCTTGGGGTTTGTAGAGCACTTGGATCTAAGGGCTTACTAGTTCATCAAATTTGCATAATTTCCAGTCATTCGTTCAAATACTTTTCCCTGTTCCCCTAGTCAAAAATCTAAATGCTTAGAGAAACACCAACAAATAGTGTAACAATATATTTACGGTGAGTAGATATGATTTGAATTGGGCAGCTTCACCTTGAACATGTTAAGAAGGTGCTCTGAAAAGGGGCTGTTGAATGTAGATTTTATAGGTCACCGTTAACAATGCTTTCTTAAGAAATAGTATAAAAACACAGGGCAGACTGGAGAAACAGTCACCGAAGACATGCTGTACATACTAAAATAACCTCTAGTCAGACCCTGGAGTTGCCCCACTAAGCTGTAGGTTTGACTTGAAGGTGACTCTAGGGAACCAGTTCCTTCATGGTTCAAAAGGACACCTGAGGGCAGATGACCCGGATAGGTCACCCCAATTCCATGAACCCTGAAATTCCAGAAAGTCCTGAAATTGGAATTCCTGAAGAATCAAAACAATTTTGTCACTCTTCGTCTTCTTTTCTCCTTCAAAAATTCCAATTACAAATATGTGCCTATATATTTGTAATTGGAATTATTCTTTTATTTTCCTCTTTATTTTTTCTTTGTTCTTTTTTCTGTGTTTCATTCTGGATAGTTTCTGTTGTCAGATCTTCCAGTTCATTCACTTTTTCGTTTGCAATGTCTAATCTGTTGTTAATGCTACCCAGCATATTTTCATCTGATACATTGTAGTTTGCATCATTAGAAGCTTGATCTGGAGACTTTAAAAAAAAATTCTTTCTGTGTTTCTATTTAACTTTTTGAACATATGGAACATAATTATAACTGTTTTAATGTCTTTGTCTGGTAATTCTAACATCTGGTTTGCTTTTGATTGGTTAGTTTTTCTCCTCATTATGGCTATGTTGTGTTAAGTATGGGTACAGACATTTAAATTTTTTGACACAGAACACTAAATTGCCCTTTAAGAATGTTTATAATTCGAATGTTTATAATTTAAATGGAGCACTGGTAGCTTAGTGGTTATGTAGAGCTGCTAATCTCAAGGTCAGCAGTTCAAAACTACCAGCTGTTCTGTGGGAGAATGATGAGGCTTTCTGCTCCCGTAAAGATTTACAGCTTCAGAAACCCTATGCAGGGTCACTAGGAGTCAGAACCGACTCCCATGACATACCGCCACCACCACCACTGTTGTTAAATCCTCTCAAGTTGGTATGGCTCATAGTGATCCTATATAGAGTGTCCAAGGAGCAGCTGGTAGATTTCAATTGCCAACTCTGTGGTTTTCAGTACAGTGCTTACCCTACAGTGTCACTACTAGTATGTGAGAATGTCTGTTTCCCTATCTTGGAAGCCCTGGATTTTGTCAATATCTCATTCTCCTTGCTAAAACTGTTTACTCCCTGTCTTAGTTATGTAGTGCTGTGGCAACAGAAATACCACAAGTGGATGGCTCTAAAGAATAGAAATGCATTTTCTAGACTTCAAGAGGTTAGAAGTTCAAATTCAGAGCCTTTCTAGGGAACAGGTCTCTCTGCCTTTGGTTCTGGCATAAGACCCTTGTCTCTCAGCTTCCATTGTCCCAGTGTTCCTTGATCTGTTGGCAATCTTCATGTGGCATCTGTGTCCCTCACTCCACCCTTTGCACTGGCTTATCTGTGGAATGTGCTCTTTTTATAACTCAGAAGGGATTATACTTAGGGTATAGCATACAGTGATATGGCTTCAGTACCATAACAAAGAAATTCCAATGTCTAAACAGGATTGCATCTACATACTTTTGTGGAGGGTACAATTCAATTTAGGACATTCCTTCAACAGGTATTCATCGAGCATTACTATAAGCCCAGAACTGACAGTGCCAATTTTGTGTCATTTAAGCAACTGCAGTTGCTATCCTTAGGGTACTTATAATCTTGTGGTGTTCATTGTGACTTTATTTGCATTTTTGATCATTATTAAAGATTTTGAGCACCTTTTCCCAAATACATTGGCCGTTTATATTTTTGTTTCGTATACTGCCTACTGATTGTACACTGACCAGTTTTAACCGGACTGTCTGCATGTTTTATTCCATGGTTTGTTGTTGTTGTGACGTGCCATCGAGTTGGTTCCAACCCATAGCGACTCTCTATAGGGTTGCTGAGGAGCAGCTGGTGAACTTGAACCACCAACATTGAGGTTCAAAGCAACTTTGCAGTCCAACGCATTAACACGCAGCACCACACAGAGGATACACTTAGTATTTTTTGAATAATAAAAAATTATATTTTGTAAACAAAGACACTTTCCTTAAACTATCACTTACATATAATTTCTTCAAAGATTTTTCTACATGTTACACAAGTACTAACCTTTTTCTATACTAAAAGTAAATAGGAGTTTATTCTGGTATAAAAATAATGACCTTAAGTGCAATAATTTTTGGAACAATACATACATATTATATGTAATAAATATTTTAATATGTAGCTAACAGCAACATATAAGTGCTATTTTATTCCCTTAATGATAAAATAGAAAGTCAAGGAGATGAAACATCCCCAGGTTAAATATTTCTAACTGACTGAATATTTCTGGTAAAACCAAGCCATCTGTATTGGGAATGCCCTATAAAGAAGCTAGCTAATTTGTAATGACCTAAGATCCATTCTTTCAAAGGAGAAAATGTCAAAATCCCCATTATCAAATTTTTGAGCATAATGGTTACGAATCGGGGTGTTAAACACAAGGTCAGCAGTTCAAAACTACCAGCTGTTCCGCCACAGAAAGATGAGGCTTTCTGCTCCCATAAAGATTTACAGCCTTGGAAACACTGTGCAGGGTCGCTATGAGTTGGAACTGACTACACGGTACTTAACAACAACAAAGATCCATTCTTTCAAAGGATTGGTATGGGTCAGAACTGACTTGATGGCACTTAACAACAAGTTAATTGCCATCAAGTCAATTCAAACTCCTGGAGACCCCATATGTGCAGAGTAGAACTGCTCCATAGGCTTTCAAGGCTGTGAACTTTTGGGAGCAGATCTCCAGGCTGTCATCCAAGGAGCCCCTAAATGGGTTTGAACTGACAACCTTGTGTCTAGTAGTGGAGTACTTAGCCGTTTGAACCACCTAGGAATTTCCCACAGAGTTGCAGGAGCTCTTAAAGACACATGGAGGTGATGGTGGTGGTTATGCACTGTAGAGTCAATTCTGACTCATAGAGACCTTGTATAGTGTTCCTGAGACTATAAATCTTTGGGGGAGCAGAAAGTCTCAACTTTCTCCCAAGGAACAGCTGGTAGTTTCAAACTGCTGACCCTGAGATTAACAGCCCAACTCGTAACCACTACGCTAGCAGAGCTCCTTCAAAGACACATGCTACCAATAATCTTTCTGTGTAGATAACTGTTGGGAGCATCAGGTGGGATGCCCTAATTGAGGCACAAGTTCTATAAACTACCTAGTGTCTTTTTAGCTTTCATGGATGGCAAGGAGACTGTGAGAAATGTTCAACTCTATGGCCACGGACATGAGTTGTACACATATTACATGGTTAAAAGTAATATTGTTGTTGTTGTTGTTAAATGCCATTGAGTAGGTTCCAACTCATAGTGACCATGTATAGGGTTTCTGAGGAGCAGCTAGAGAGCTTGAACCACCAACCTTGCGGTTCAACCTTACCTTGCAGTCCAGTGCATTAACCTGCACCGCCACACTCTCTGAATATGATGGAGGAAATGCATGTCACCACAGTTATGTTGTGAATAAAGACACCGAGCAGCTTTAACAATGATGATGATGACTACAACCAGGACATCCCCTTGAGGACCAACTCAGTGGTCCTTTGATTAGACCCAGGCCCCAGGACTGACCTGTTTGGTGCAGGTGGTCTCTGGCCACCTCGAACAAGCGCAAGTGCATGTTGGTGATAGGGTTGAAGGAGCCACAGGCCAGAAGCACCACAGGGATTCGGCTCTTCATCTTGTCAGGAACATCCACACTCACTGCAGCGGCCACCCTGCCTTCATAGGGACAAAATCTCATGTCAAGGAGTTGACATTGATTGTTTTCTAAATCAGCGCTCCAAAAGTACACACTGGCCAGTATTCCCCACTTGCAAGATAAGTAAGGAGGCAACATTAAAGGTAACGTTTATGGAGGGGCAGGAACTGTGCCAAGAACTATGCCAAAGTGTATACCTTCTCCAACCAGATCCTTTACCAACCCTAGCAGTAACTTACACAGCTCAAGAACACTGGAAACAGCAGGGCTAGGACTAAAAGCCAAGCAGTGTGACCCGAGAGCCCATGTTCTGCTCTTAATCATGATACCCTCCCTGGGCTCTGATGGGTCACCTTATTGCTGTTAAGTGTTGCCTAATCAGTTTCAACTCATAGCAATCCCATCTAGAGTTTCTGAGGAGTGGCTGGTGAGTTTGAACTGCTGACCTTTTGGGTCAAATGACCTTTCAGTCCAGTGCTTATCCTACTGTGGTACACCAGAACTCCTTAGGAGGTCTGCAAGACCCACACATCATCTCTGTTAGTCCAAACAGAATTCAGGAGGCCCCAGAACAAACAGGCACTTTTTAAGACTTTCAACTTTGAAATAATTTTAGACTTACCAAAAAATTACAAATTTTCTTACAAAGATTTCCTGTAGGCCCTTCACCTAGATTACTCAAAGGTTAACAAAGACCACACTTGGTTCACCATTCATTTTCTCTCTTTCTCCACACATATAACATCACAAATCACCATCTACCTTTAATCAGGAGTCTTGGTATGGCACTGTAGGATAAGCACTGGACTGCTGACCTTGTGGTCAGCAGTTCAAACACCTCAGCTGCTTCTCACAGGCACTATACAGGGCCACTATGAGTTGGAACTGACTCAATAGCA